CCCAGCTGTGATATGCTAGAGGCCTGGGGCCAATCTCCAGAGGCCCTTCGTGTCCGGGCTCCACCTGAGCCCCTTGGCCCTGCCACAGGTCCTGCGGCTGCAGCGGACCCTGGCGGAGGTGGAGGGGCGCCTCCAAGAGAGCCGCGGGGCCGAGCAGAGCCTCCGGGCCGAGCTGCACAGCGCCACCCTGAAGCTTCAGCAGGCCAGCGGCGTGGCAGATGGCCTCCGAGCCGACCTGGATGGGGCCTGCCGCCGGGTCCACAGCCTGGAGCAGGAGCTGGCCTGGGCAGAGGGCGCCAGGCGGGATGCGCAGGGCCAGCTGGGCCGGCTGTGGTCCACACTATGCTGCGAGCTGGGGCTCCGAGCACAGAGCCCCTTTGCCTCCCCTGGGCTGCCCAGCTCCCCCACCAAAGGTCAGTGTCTTCCGTGGCTTCAGGGGGTCCTTTCCCAGCTCCACCCCCCAACCTGGGCCACCCCCACCCCTCCCTGGGCCTCACACTCGGCATAGTCAGGGCCTGGAGCCTGTGCCCCCAGCTCCCTATGGTGGGGACAGCAGAGAGAAAGGGGGACAGGGCGCCTGCATGTGTCACCGAGCCCTCACCAAATCCCCTCAGCCCTCTCTGTCCCGCAGGCTCAGAGGGCTCCCAGGGTGGCTCTGTGCAGCATAGCGCCAGCCCCCCTGCCAGGTCCCGCTCACCACTCCGATGGCCCTCACCAGCGCCAGGACAGCGTGGCCGAGACGTGGACATGGCCTCCGTGAGGGACTCCCTGAGGGGCTTTGTGCAAAAGCTGCAGGATGCCCAGCGGGATCGGGTAAAGGAGGCGAGGAGGACCTGCCCCTGGAGCTCTGGGAGATGGGAGGGGCCACTCACTCATCCGTGTGCCGTCCATTTGTGCAGTGACACCCACTGGGGTCCAGGGCAGGGCCATCCCCATGCCCATCTCCTGAAGAACCATCCCCAGGGGCTGACCAGGTCACCTGCAGAGTGTCCCCAATGACCTTCACTTGGGACCAAGCTCCCAGCACCTGCTCGCATGGGCTCCCTATCTTGCCACCCCAGGGGTGCTCCTCCTGACCTGCCAGAGAGGAGGGGCTGTGGGAAAGACCCACAGTCATGGCAGGACCTGTTCCCCCACTCTATGTGCATACCCCAAACCTGGACACCCAGGCCCAGCCCCCTCTCCAGCTCCTCCATGTCCTCCCCAGGGCTTGTCCTGGGTGTCTGTAGGTTGCCCGCCAGACCCCCAAAGCCTCTAGCCTGGCATCTCGGCTCTCCACTCCCCCACCCCCTGCCAGCTGACCTTGGTCTTTCTCCCAGGACACCTGGCGCTCCCAGGTGGCGAGCCTGAGCGGCCGGCTAAGAGAGGCGGAGAGGGAGCGTGCCCGAGCCCAGAGGCACGTGGGGCGCCTGAAGGAGGCGCTGGCCCAGGCGGAGGAAGGTGACCTCCTTTCCCCACCCACTCCTGGGGGTTCCCCAGAATGCCCACTCCTGGCCTCCAGCATGCAGTCCTGGGAACAGCTCAGGCTTGGGCCACGGGGTAACACCCCAACCAGCACCTCCCCGAGCTGGGGAACAGTGCTTCCCCAGAGTCCCTGAGAGGCCCTCCGGCCCGAGATGGGAGGGGACGCTCCCCTGTAAGGCAGTCCCTAGACCTCGGGAGCCAGCAGGCTATGGCCCTGCTTGCCCCCCAGGCTGGCGCCAGGCGGAGGGGAAGACGGGCCGCGCCCAGGCCTTACGGGCTCTGCAGAAGGAGGCGATTCAGAGGCTGGAGAGGGAGCACCTGGCGAGTGTTCGGGCGGCAGGCCAGGAGAAGAAGCGGCTCCAGGTGGGGACCCCACGCCCCAGGGCAGGGAGGGCCAGGGGAGCCTGAGAGGGCTGCTGGGGAACGGAGGTTTCGGGGCCCTGTGGGCAGGTGGCCTCGAGGGGCACTAGGTTCCCAAACAGCTGTCTTTGAGGTGGTCCTAGGCCTTATTTTACAGATTGGGGAAACTGAGTCTGGGCAGAGAATGGCTTGGCCTGGGTGGCAGAGCCAGCAAGGGGCAGACCCTGGCCTCTTTCTGTGGCCACACCAGCAAGCATAGGGTGGTCCGGCCTTGTTGCTCTCGTGGGGTCACGTCTATGCTGCTGTGGGACCTTTTCCTTAGCCTTCGCCCGAGGATATGCTTACTGAGTTTGAGAGAGAGAGAAACGTTGATCGGTTGCCTCCCGGTATGCGCCCCAACTGGGGATCGAACCCACAACCTTTGTGGTGTGCGGGACGACACCCAAGCAACTAAGCCACCCAGCCAGGGCACGTGGGCCGTTTTTTACCCCACGTCACTCCACATGGAAGCAGGTTGCACAGGATGGACTCAGTAACTGTCCCCAGTGTGGCTCTGTGCTGGGGCCGGTGGCCGGGGGGCCGCAGTTTCCAGTGAGGAATCGGGGCTCAGCGAGGGGCCGGCTGGGTGGTGAGGCTGGCCAGGCCTCCCCCTCACTGCCCTGCCCAGGCCCAGGAAGCTGAGGCTCCTTGAGGACCTCGGGGGCGTGGAGAACGGTGTTCTCGGAGGAAGCACTGGCCCTCGGGAGGCCCTTGGGTGTCAGGCCCCACACTGGGAGGCTGAGGCTGATGTGGGCAGCCGAGCAGAGGGGACTCGTGGGCAGGACATGGGGCAGGACACGGGCTCTCAGCCCCACAAGTGCCACGAGCTGCGTCAGCCCTCTCCAGTGCCCTGTGAGGAGGACCCCGGATGAGTCGG